AACAGTGGGAGGGCTTCTAATGTCCTGACCCCACTGGTGGACCTTCTGATGGCACTGGTATTTCTGGCCACTGTGTGACACAAGAGTGTTGGACTGGATGGGCCTTTGGCCTGATCCAACATTGGCGTCGCTTATGTTCTTATGTAAAGATAAAATTCCACTGTTGGAGCCAGAGTATAGCCTCCAATCTCCAAGTACAATAGTTATCACAAGCAAGAACAGATAGAGTGAAACCAAGTGGATGTGCCAACAAACACTCCTAATAAATCAACCTGCCACCCAGGGGATAAGCCCCTGAACCTGAGATCTGAGGCAATCCCAAAGGGTACTCTTCATTTCTCCTGCCCTGAAACAAAAACCATTAGCAGCATCTTTTAAAACATTTTTGAACCCACATTCTTAATGGATGAGACCCACTCTGAAGAAGTATAAACTCTTTACTTTTTTGGGGGGGGAGGGGTGTGTGCATATGTGAGATAGAGTACTTTACACTTAGAATTAAATCTTACAAATATAAGAAGGGCCCTGCTGGATCAGGCAGTAGTCCATCTAATCTAGCATCCTTTCTCAAACAGTTGCCACCAACACAGCATAGAGACTGAGGTCTTCCCTTGATGCTGCCTCCTGGCTCTGGGATTCAGAGGCTTAGTGCTTCTGAATGTGGAGGATCCACTCAGTCACCAAGAGGGAAATGGCTATAGGTAAGTAAAGGTACAGGTTCCCTTGCTCGAAAGCCAGTCGAATCCGACTCTAGGGTTGCGGTGCTCATCTCCGTTTCAAAGCCGAAGAGCCAGCACTGTCCGAAGACGTTTCCGTGGTCATGTGGCCGGCATGACTAAACACCAAGGCCCACGGAACGCTGTTACCTTCCCACCAAAGTGGTATCTATTTATCTACTTGCAATTTCTTGCTTTCGAACTGCTAGGTTGGCAGGAGCTGGAACGTCGTACATTAAGACTGTAGATTTTAAAAAAAACTTTAAAACGATGCAGCGAATGGCTTTCCTGTCAGGGCACGGGAAACAAAAAGCACCCTTTCAGATTCCTGAAGCTTTTCTCCGGGTGGGTCTCCACTTCACCGCTTTCTTTACATGAACGGGCGTCACACACCCCCACAGCCTTTCTAAACGCTTCCTATCCGAAAATCACACTAACTTCCTGCTCTAAACACAAGGCAGTTAAAGACTTCCCAGTTTTAGAATATGTGCTGCCAGACCGTCACAAAGAAGCCTCAGGCTGTCGAGGAGCGTCACAGACAACCACAACGTCTCGCAATCTGTACCGGAAGCTCACATGGGTGCCGCTCTAGCCGCACTTTACATCTATGCCCCCTACATCGACTACTTTCGCTCCACGCACAAACCTATGCACACTTCCTCGTCCTGATTGGCTAGAAGGCTGAGCGTCAGACTTGCTTTCCTATTGGTCGAAGGCGAACTAAAGGGAAGCTCCTTGTGGGGCCTAGGAGAGTCTGAGCGGGTTGTTGCTGGAGTCCCGGTAGCCGCCATGGCGGGCCGAGGACCCGTTTGTTACGTTTTGCTGTGCGGCCAGGCAGCGCTGCTGCTGGGCAACTTGCTCTTGCTTCAGGGCGTCTCTCGAAGTCACCAGCAGAACGCTACGGATAGTCCGACGCAGAGCCAGGAGCAGCCGGCGGAGACGCCAGCAATAGCCGCAGTCTCTTCCCCGTCCTCTTCCTCCTCCTCCAACACCTGGGACTACCTGGGCCCCTACGCGCCGCTCGTCCTTTGCGACCACCTGTAAGGAGCGGGCCTTGGGGTGCATGAGGAGGGGCGGGGGCATGAACCTGGCTTAGGAAAAACTGAATGGTGGGGGGGAGGGAAAAAGAAAGGGGCGTGGTCTGCAGTGGGTGGGCGGACCTTGTCTAGCAACTAAGTAAAGGTAAAGGTTCCCTTGCTCGAAAGCCAGTCGAATCCGACTCTAGGGTTGCGGTGCTCATCTCCGTTTCAATGCCGAAGAGCCAGCGCTGTCCAAAGACGTTTCCGTGGTCATGTGGCCGGCATGACTAAACACCAAGGCGCACGGAACGCTTTACCTTCCCACTGAAGTGGTACATATTTATCTACTTGCAATTTCGTGCTTTCAAACTGTTAGGTTGGCAGGAGCTGGAACTAGAGACGGGAGCTCACTCCGTCATGCGGCACACTCGGGTCTCGAACTGCTGAACTATCAACCTTCCATAGCCTGTAGTTTAGCGTCTTAACCACTTGTGCTACCGCAGCTCTAGCAACTAGAGGCGACCAAAAGAACAGCGCTTGGGGTAAAAGAAGGAAGGAAGGCCTAAAGACGTGTGTCTTTACAAATGCGTGGGGCTTGTTTTGGCACTGGGGAGGAGAGAAGGCACGGTCTGTATGAGAGGGTGGGCCTGGTCGGACCAAGCCGCTTCTACAACTTGCTTTCAAGTCATGGTACTTTATCCCTGCAGGAGAGCATAAGAGCAGCCATGCTGGATCAGACCAGTGGTCTAATTAGTCTTGGCAGGTTTGGCCAGTCATATACTGCAGGGAAACCTATAATCAGGGCTCTCTGCTACAGCTCCCATTTGCAGGCTTTGCCCCAGTATCTGACAATGTTTTCTGCCCCTAGTACCTAACAATAGATCTATCCTCCATAAATCTGTCCACCCCGCTTTTAATCTATTGAAGGCTATGGGACCCGCCTCATCTTGTAGTAGTAAGTTCCAATAATCAACTACCTGTTGTGTGAAATAGCACTTTCTTTTACCTCTTTTTGAATCTACTGCTAGTCAGTTTCATAGAACGACCCCCCCTCCACACCAAGTTACAGTTTTAAGGAGAACTTTTTTTCTCTATTCACTTTTTTTACTATGTATAATTTTATATTACTGCATTACTTTTGGCCATAAAGTACTTCTTATTGTATATACAGCTGGCTGTGGCAACATAAATATTACAAGTGTTCAACAGTTTGATATTGCCGCAAGGATGCATTAATTTCTAATTTATATGAAGGAGTTCTAAATGAGAGGTGTGCAGAAGGGAATGATGCTTGTTGGGCTCTGAGAAGGCATTGCGGATGAATGGGATGTGCAAAAGGGGATGGCTGGTGCTGTGGTGAAAGTTAAAAGGAATCTGAAGAGTCTGGACTGTGACGTGGTAGAAGGCCTAGTAAGTAGAGGATGAAATGTGTGTGATTAGTGTAGGATGGAAAAGGGAGGGCTGTTGAGAAAATGAAAAGATGGGAGAATAAGAATGGCAGGAAAATATAATTGTAACACATGAAGCCTGTTAATATTATCCTTCATGACCGTTGCCAGGCTTGAGGATGGATGTAGAGTCAGGCAATTTAAATGATCCCTGTGTTGAGGAGGGGTGATTGCCCAGGAATGATTGCATGGAATCCACTTGGCAAGGGTAGCTAAGAAAGTGGGGATTAGAAGGGGCTGAGATACTGCTTGCCTGTCCAGGAATATGGAGATGCTGGGAAACTTACTATGGAGCAGGAATTTGAGTTACAGCTATGCTCTTAGAGCTGTTTATTTTTTTAATGTACATTTTCCCAGTGTTTTTAAAACAGGCAAGTTAAATTCATATTCATGGAACCAGTAAAAAAAGCAAAATAAAGCAAATTAGCTAATATATCAGCCAATCAAGGATGCTCCTGTAATGGAAAATCCCAAAAGCCAGATGGAAAAGGAAAACTTCTCAGCCTTTTCCAGAGACAGTCAAAGAGCAACAGTTCCTCAGATCCTGAGGGAAGGAATTCCACAGCTTCAAGCCCACAGATGTAGAGGCAGCTAATAGTGGCAGATGTGTGTATTGTACAAAGAGATGGTAACTGAAGCAGGACTCGGTTTGATGGATGAAGTTGGCAGAAAGATTAGTACTAGCAGAGACTCTCTCTACCATGGGTTCCATGGTATGTATGGTTTTCTAGGTCAGTTTACGCCAGCTTCTGAGATATAAATTTGGAGAACAGTATATGTTATTCTCAAATCTAAACTTGCCTTTTGGTTACTTGCAGACCTGAGGAGTTCATTGAATGTGAGGATCCCATGGATCATGGTGGAAACACAAGTGCGCGAGATGAACTGGGCCATGGGTGTCTTAAGGTGTGTCCAAGAAGGGATGTCATGCCATTTTGCCATGTGGGGCTAATAAAGGGGGGAGGCTATCATACACCCCTGCCACACACCTTTAAAGTGTAAGGTACATTCTTTGGCAACAAGAAAATATATGCTTTACTTGGAACTAACAGATTTTGAATACTGTGTACTGTTCTTGACTTTATTATAGTTTGGTGGCCAAGCATATAGTGATGTAAGCCACACTCAGGTCCCCTGCAAAGCACTGGATGGCATTGAATGTGCAGGCCCACGGACTTTTCTGCGCGGGAATAAACCATGCATAAAGTGAGTTTCCTTTCTTGGGGATTTTCTGCCTTTGGCAGCACTGAAACCAGAGTTCCATTGATGACTGGGGGGGGGGAAACACAGCACCCTTGTTCCCACTGGTCTTGCTATTTAAATATTTATGCACTCCTTTTCCCTTGGGGTTCAAGGTGGCTTACAGATCTAAATTAAAACCAGAGTATAAAGCCTCATTAATATCTTCTTCTAAGAAAATGTCTGTAGGTCAGGCCCCGTTAGCCCTTGGAAACAAAACCTTCCTAAAACCTGCTTGTCAAGGAACCAAGCCTGGGTCCCTCTGAGCCACTGCCTTACAAACTAGCAAGCAGTGCTCAAACTCATGGGTCCCTGAGGTTGAAGGCACACAAGAAAACCAAAACCTTTAAAATACACACACAGGTTTATTGAGCAATAAAATTAGGAATACTATTAGGCAACACAGTCTCTAGAATTAATTAGCAAAAAAACCCCAAAGGCTAACTTTTCTAACACTTTAGTACGTGGCATTAAGTGGTGCACCATTCAAAATTGTAGAGTCCAGGCTAGAAGCTTATGCATCTGTCCCATGGGATCAAAGTTAGTATCGTGTCATTCTTATCTAAGGCCCAATTATAGTTTCTTGCCCTCTGGCATCTTGTGATCTTTGGAATCCAATCGGAACGTTAGTTTGCTGGAGCCCTCCAGATGATGATGCAACTTGCTCCTGGCTCCCCCTTCCCATCTAGTTACTGACCTGAGTGCAGGTTTGTACACTTAGCCAACCACCGCATTCTGAAATCCAGCCTTGAAAGAGATGCAGATAGTGTCTAAGAGAAAACCCAATTACAAACACCTGCAGGCTGAAGCAGGCCTACTGTTGTTCTTGTTAACCTTTGGTGAAATTAAGGGTGCTTTGCCTCACACTGCTGAAAAGGATGTCTCCCTCAGGGAGCCTGCTCCACAAGGTGGGAGCCAAGCAGACATTCTCCGTTGGGGAGGGGGGAACAACCAGAAGGCGACAGCTTGAATACTGTAGCTGATGGATGGGAACATATGGGAGAAGGCCTGTATGTCCTTAAAGATTGTGTTAGCTTTTTGCACACTTAAGAGCAAACCTTACCACTGCCACCCCATTGTTTAGAGCATGCCACTTATAGGCCCATTCCTGTAGCTTCATTCTTTAAACATCATTTTTAACATGTTTTTTTTCCTGTGGCTACTGGAGGGAACTGTTAATGACATTTAGATTTGACATTTATACTCCCAGTCTCCTTCTGTTAATGAAATTACAGTATAATTTTTTTCTAACTTTATTCTATCATAGGTACACGGGACACTACTTTATAACCACTCTCCTCTACTCCTTTTTCTTGGGTTGCTTTGGAGTGGACCGTTTCTGCCTGGGGCACACAGGCACAGCAGTGGGGAAGCTTCTGACTCTTGGAGGACTAGGAATTTGGTGGTTTGTGGACTTAATTCTTCTTATCACTGGAGGACTGATGCCCAGTGATGGAAGCAATTGGTGTACTATTTATTGAAAAGCCGAAAGCTTGCAACTCTGGACCTCAGCTGAAAAAGGAAAATAAGGGTGAAGTCTTAACTTGACATTGCTGGAGACCTGATGCTTGAATTCTGCTCTGTTGCAACAAGACAGACTATATTGGTGTATTCCTTTTACACTGGAACAGTTGCCATAGAGCCTCATAAAATGGAATTAATAGCAAAAATGCTAATTCTGGTGTACATACCTCATTGTTTGAATGGAAGCAGTACTTTTTCCTAGCCATAACAGATTGGGAAGATTTCTACCTTTGTAGAATAAGCCTACTCAATGGATTTACACCATAGTGAAGGTATTGTATTGCTGTATATCCTTAACTCTTCTGTGGCACTCTGGGAAGTACTGAGATAGAAATTGTGGTTTACCACAATCTGCTTAATCCTAGTTGGGAATCCTAGTTCAATTTAGAAGAGATTAAAAAAAAAAAACCCACCACCACCATGCAACCAGTGTTAGTGAGACTAGTATTCTTCTTAAGGCTAATACTGCAAAGCTTACTGCTGTTTAGGATCCTGTAGTGAAGCTGGCAGCACTTCCTTTTAAACATTCAAGTCTCAAAAGGCCGCTGAAAGGTGAAAGCAGCTCTTTTCTCCCTAGAGGAAAGGAGCTGGGTCTTGCTTTGTTTTTGCACAGCAGTTTTACAGAAGGTAGAAGCTGCATGACTCTTGCACCAGGCTTGCCTTCTGAAAAGCTGGTGTAAATGAAAACAGCCCCCTTCCTTTGTAGGTTAGTGGAGCCCTCGCTTTGTTTGTGTGGACTCTGCCGTCTGGTATACACGAAGTCTGTGGCATCCCTTCCTCATGCTCTAATTTTACATATGGGATACAGGATACCAGCTGTTTCTTGCCTACATCAGGACTACTCCTTTTTAAAAGTCAGGTCACTAATGTGCCTGCAGAACCACAGAAACCCAGCATAGTCTCCCCAAAAACTGTCGTAGTGCATTCTACTTGTTAAGGACTCTGAAGGCTTTCTGGAGAAAGGCATGCCTAGCAGAGTTGCTGGGTTCAGCTGTTCTAAGAGAGCAGGGGATCTAAATCCCATGTAAATAAAAAAAAATATTTCTGAAGCAGTGCTAGATGGCCAGTGTTAGCCTCATTTTAAGACTTGCCAATAAAGAGTCTCCAACATGCCTTTGGCTCATTAGTACCTAGTGTGCCTCTGCCTCTACTGGAACCTTGCAAATATGTTTACATGGTTATTATCGCAAGTACAGAATCCAACAATTCTAGACCATGGATTAGCAATTGTCTGTTGTTGAAAAGAACACTTTTGCCCTTTAAGTATCATGCATGAGGGAAAGGTACAAGATAGTAGACCGCTGGGGTACCTACTTAAGAATGTTAGGATTAAAATGTGTTTCCATTCTACCAAATGTGTTCAGCTAGTGCAATTAAAAAAAAAAAGCTTTCTTGGAAGTCTAGGCTCTTGCACTTTGAATCTGAGATAATATAAGAGTTGCTGCTATAAAACATCTGTTAGTGGCCTGTGGGGGGGGGTTTCTGAGGAATGCTGGTATTCAAAGCTGCTTATTAGAGATTGCCATAAAGTACCAATTGGAGAGGGAGGGCGCAAAAGGAAGAAATATTCATGAAAGCAGATGGATGGGCTAGAACCTCCAGGTGTTTACTAGTTCTTTTGAGGAGGGCAGGCAATCCAAGCAGGTCTGTATTAAATGTGTTTTTTTTATCTTGCAGGCAACCGTTGGTAGTTGATGAACCTTCCTCTGCCATGTTCCATATCTGACCCCCCACCATAAAATGGATATTGGACTACTCCATTCTGGGTTAGGGTTTATTTCCAGATGCTCTTGCATTGAGAGAGGACCAGGTTCCTGTGAACGTCAGCTCCTTTCTACCTATATGGCTGTGCAGAAACGTAGCTTTTTGCTATTTGGTCTCGCTCAGGTGGAAGGAACTTTTTAAAAAGAAATGAGCTTCCTGCACATTTCTTGATGCACACTTTGTACATGTGGCTATCCCCCCCTCCCCTCCATGGCTCTCGTTGCTGGGTTGTAATTTAAAATTTCACACAGTCCTTTGCTGGAGAAGGGCAACTTTTAATCAATTTCATCTGGGGTCACTGTCAAGATGGCATCTTCATTTCCTCGCCGCACCACGATGGCCAGGGTCTTGGTGTTTTGCACAGCATCCGATACATCTCGGGTGGAAGTGACAGTTTTCCCATTAATTGCTATGATGACATCACCATCTCTGAAGCCAGCACTGCAACCAAAACCAGAGATTTTAAAATCTGGACAGCCGTAGTAGCCACTACAACGATGAAAGGGTTAGCATTGCTTACCTGTCAAAGTTCTTGTAGGTTAATTTCTGAGCAAAGAAGCCTGTCCCCTTAAAAGCACAA